TTAATTTTCTAAATTCTATGACACCCAGACCAGCACTATATTCTACAGTTTTAGGGTGTTCAGTAAATGATATGCTGTTATCAACATTCTGAAAGTTTGGCATTATGTTCCAAATGCTGACTTTTCTTCCTGGCAGGGGGAGGAGGGTAATCTAGAGCAGTAATTGAGCGCATCATTATTTGTCACTGATAATAGCTATACAAATCAAACATCAATCTACTAAAATGTTTCTCTGCTTTGGCCTATACAGAATTCCAATTATGTCAAAATATTTAATCTCTGGAGGGGTAATATGAGTGTATGTGTCTCCGCATATATAAAAGTAGACACTCAAAGTCCTTGAAACATTCAACATCTGCTCAGCCAACATTTCAAGGGTATTTAAGCTTAATGCCATCAATATTAATTCACATATAAGATGAAAGTTTCAGCCTCAACATTTGCTTAACAGTATTGAGTTAATCACCAACTGTCCACTAAGATAGGGCCAGTCTACTGGCAATTGTGACCAAGTGCAGTAACGTTAGCAAAGAAAGTGCAAGAAGTCATGGTCAGGGAGTAAATGTCCAGGAAGGCACCTGGTAAGGGCATTTAATTGAAAGGAATGTGAGGACAGAGGTGGGGAAGCTGTAACGGGGAGAGAAAATGGAAAGCAGTGTTTACTGAAATCCAGCAAAGAAAGATATTTGTATCAGAGATGCAGAATGGAAGTGGAGTGGACAGGAGAGCCTTGTTATTTCACATTTTGGAGAAGGACTGAAAAGAGAAAAGACTCAAAAAGATTGCTTTTGAAATGTACATTATTTCTCTTACTGCGAAGGAGGAAGCTTCTATAACTCTACCTCCTTTGCAACAAAACCGCTGCTTTCACTGCCTTCTAGGTAAGTGTCACCTTCATCTCCAGACCTTGTCTGTTCCTGGCAATGGCTGAAAGGCATTCGCCCTGGACTCCTGTGAATATGTCATCTAATGAAGACATCTATTAATATGGGCACATTACAGTTCGCCATCTGGCTCTGCCTCTCAGACCGCCCTCCTCCCTATAGATCTGCACACACAGAGCGCACTGTGCCTAATCAATTATTTATCCATTTCCCTCAGTGCCCAACAGACCCAGCCTTCGCTCTCTGCTGTAAGGCTGCTGAGGGCTGGCGACACACATTTCAGGCCTGAAAACACTCTTCACCCAAACCCAACATTGAGCACTATAAAGTCCTCATGTTATCCTCATTCTGTCCTTTCCTCTGGATCCCCTTCTTGGGGGTCCCCTTCACAAAACACTCTGAAATCAGACTCTGGAGGGAACCCAACTTTTCCTCCAACTTGTGTCCTTGGAAAGTTGGTTAACTTCGTTTGCCTCAGTTTCCTCATCTGCAAAATCGAGATGATCATGGGACCTGTACCATTAGAACAGGCTTGTTTTGATTACTAAATGAATAAGGGTATGTAAAGAGCTTAGACTAGTACTTGGCCAATAGTAAGCAAAGTTATTTTGTTATTTCTCCCTCTTTTATCTGACCACATATCTTACTCTGCTCATTCTTTTTTCATATTTATCTTCATTTTTCTTAGAGTGTCTGTAACAAAAAGAGCCTGTATCTCTTTCACATTATTCTTTTCATACATTTTCAGCCTTTCCCTTTTCAACAGTAATAACATATTGTCCTTCTAACTTGCTCTTATTCTTTACCCTGGTTTTCTTTGCAATTTTACCTTTTTTTTTCACTCTTAACTCTCTAATATTTCTCCTTTGCATCTCTTTTTGTCACTTCAAGAACTTTTTCCAGGCACAAACCAAGAATGAGCTAAATTGCTATAGTAAATTTAATTGTCATAGTATTTTGTAGTGTTTTTTGAAAATATAAACACTTATTTAAATCATTAGAAAACATTAAATATCTTATCCTCAAATGAAGCTGAGATTGTTTTTCAGTTGTGTTACTATGAAGCAGTCCTGTGATGAAAACCATCCAGTGAGATACAAACTCTTCCTGCCTCACTCCTGCAGGTTTACCCTCCTCGCCTTTTCCTTCCCTGCTCCAATTTTGTAAGAAATATCATTTTAAGTAAAAGATATAATATAGGTGCTTTAACTTCAAACTTCTTATTCACCCCGTTCAAAAATGTTATTGACAATCACATCTCAGAAAATAAATTATTTTGACTTGGTATTTCTCTGGAAACTTTGGTTAAACTGAGTCATTCTGGTTGAAAAGGAAAAGCAGAAAGTCTGAGCTCTGCTTTTGGATACAACCCTGGTTGGCATTTATCCATCTGAGAGTTATTCACATTCACAAAAGGAAAAGTTCTTCCAACAAAGGACTTTACAATTTCATTAATGCATTTATTCAAAATGCATTCATTCTAGTATATAACAAGATTCTCCCTGAGCACTGAGGAACTCTAGCAAAAATCAGGTGTACCCTTCTCCTTGGCTCCTTTCCTCAGCTTACACGGATAGGCTTGATTTTAAGAGACACCAAACATCAGGGGCAATATTCTCAACTTGGCAGAATAAGTGCTCTACAGGGAAGAGAATGGCGATGCCAAAATGCAAATATCCACTGAGCACTGTTCCTGAGGGCATGTTGTTCTATCTGTGTTTAATGAAGACTGGGATATGGGCCTGTGTTAGTGAATGGCTGGCTCTAGGTGTTTTTGCAAAATGATGAGATGGGAAAAAATGAATATTTATGCTGTCTTTGATTCTTCTAAATTTTCCACCAAACTGCTTGTCTGTGCTTTAATATTGTCATTAATAATACAAATTAGAATAATGTAATTAAATGCCCTTGGGCATCACCTGAGTGTTTCAGTACAACTGTGATGCCCTGGGGCTCCCTGATTCTAATGGTCTCACGCTTAGCACACCACATGAACATACCCAGTTTGGCTCTTTTATTTCTTGCCTGAAACTACCTCTCTGCTACAATTCTTTGGCTTTGGCTGCAATTAGATTTACACTTTACTGTACTGTAAAAATCTCATTTGATGATCCATATCCATCTTCTATAAAACTTGGTTCCAGTGGAGGTGAGAGAAGCCCTTCATCCATGGCATATAAGGCAGCATCCAGAGCAGAGGATTTTGACTTTTCTGTGCCTTATGAGGCCATCAGTGACATTAATGTCTCCATGCATTAGGAGTGCTACAGTCATATATTGCAGGATCACTGAAGCTGCTTTGAGTAGAGGATAAAAATGCCATTCACTTTACACATTGAAACCAAATGTTTTATAAGCCTACTCCTTCCAGATTTAGAAAGCAAGACCAGATTCTTCACATATTGAAGGAAAGACACAGGGGCAAAACAAATTCAGAAAAGAATTAGAAATCCAGGCTGAAAGGGGAAATCAGACCTTCACAGAAGGCTTGAGAAACAGTGTAAGTGAGATACAGAAGTATCAGTAAGACTGAAAAAGCAGACTGACATGAAATATATAATTAGGACCAATCATAAAACGTGTAGTCTTAAAAAGGCTGAAGAACATACAATCCGAAGGGGTTGTGGGGTAGTGTTCTAAAGATATAGAAGTGCACAGTCTTTGAAACAGATCCTCAAGACAGAGAATCATTTCTAACTTCTTCCATCCTCCTACGCCCTTCAGGGATGACTTTCCAGGTTCAAGGTTACTCCCTTCTCTCCTTCTTCAACTTTCTTCACCCTCCCTGTACAATAATCTGGAGACTGAGACTAATGCTCTGTGTGACTCTCCTTGGCCAGGAGTGCAGGGACTGCAGAATGATGACTGCTTTTGGCAGAGGCCCAGAGTGGAAAATTTATTTACTGCCTTGTCGATGTCTGGTGAGATGGGCTGCTGCCTCTCCACATCCATTATAAAGTGCTCATGGGGCTAGAGCAGAAACTTAAAAACTGCTTTTGATTTGGTAACCTAAATAAAAATACTAAAACTCACAACACAAGAGTCACAATAAACGATCAGTCTGGAGGTACGCCAGGAGAAGTCATGGCGCAGAGAAAGGAACCCACTGCTTTCTCGCTGTCCAGGGTGCTGATACCGGAGTCTACTCCAAACAAAGCAGACTAAAAGACCTATTTGCCTGTGTGATATTTTAAAGTAAAATGAACAACATTTGATTGATAACTTTCCTTTTTGTTTTGGTGGCAGTAACGCTGCAATGTAATATTTATTTAGCAGTTTTCAAAATACTTTCACCTTCAGCCCTCATTTTCAAGCTAATAGGAGTTTGTGATTAATAAAGAACTTTTACAATTAAGGATCATTACTTTTGCTACATTTAAATTCAAATTACCTGGGATACTCAATTAATCAATCTTTAAACAATATTAAAACAGTCAAGGCCTGTCACACTCTTGTCTCTGATGGAAGAGGACTCAGATTCCAGCCAAACTAATGAACCACTCTGAAGGGAGGTAACAATATATTCTACCCGTGTTGTTCACACAGCCTTTTTCCCTCTTTTTTGTAACGAAGAAAAGACATATGTCTGTACCGAAATGTCTGTTGCCATCTTACTCTCCCGTCTGGCTATCACATGGCTAATTGTCCTAAAACAGCTGGATGAAGCAATAGCATCTTTAATGGCTCGACTGAAATATGGTCAGGCAGAATAAGTACAGCTATATGCCCTGCTCCCACACAGCAAAATATCTTCCAAGAAAATGTGCTTTTAATAAATTCTGTAGCCCTGAAATCCTTTTTTTTCTTTTTCACATCATTGTCTGTGCTTTTTATGATATCCCCACAGAACAATCCTAGTTTCTTTCAGAGATAGCTACCTAAACTGTCTTTCCAGAAAAAAGACATCCTGTTTTATTCAGGATGCTGAGTATTCTAAGTTTGTGATGCGAACTAGGAACATGACACACATTATAATAATGTTTGTTTATCTAGAATTTTTTCATCCGCAAATTCATCAAGTGCTTCCTTCATCTTCCAGTAGAAGGCTAATAGATATTTATGTGATAGCAACTTGAACATTTTCAGAGAGAGTAATTTGTGAATAAATGTTAATTTCCATTCATTGGTTAAGAGGAACATTCTTATTGTCAGAACATCCCATCACCAGTCATTCTTAATAAAGACTGCTTAGTTCATAAGGCTTAATGTATAGATGCTTAGTTTCTACAGTGGGTGTCTGCTACATGGATTGGCTCTTCTCTGAAAGTTAAGTGGTTTATTCTCTAAATCAAGACTTATGAAGGTACAGGCTGTTATTCTAGATTCTAAAACTGCCTTTGTTAATTATATTCATATAAATTCTCAATCCCCTTTTAGAGTCTTCCTAAATTACCTGCTTAATATTGTCCAGCATCAGTGACTTTCATAGGTTAATTATTTCCCACATAAAAGGCATCAGCTTTGTCCAGACAAAATTTGTTACCTTGTCATTGATTAACTTTTTCCCTTTGGTTCAAAGAAACAAAATAAGGTGAGGAGTCACTGGCCATCTATCTAATAACAATGCATCACATTCACAGAACATCTATCTATCCATCTATCATAGCTCTATATATCCATAAACACAAGATGGCTCTTCAGTCACAGAGAAATAAAGGGAGGGGCAGAAAGATCACCAGTTTCACTCCTACTCTGTCCCTTCACTTTGTATGTAAAGGACAGTCTGACCTCAGTACTATCTTCTCTGTTACTTGCGAGGTATCCCAGAAAGGCCATGTTTGATTTGACTGAAGGATTAGAGGGAAAGTCAGGGAGGGGTAATGGCAGGTTTTATATTTAGATGGGAGAAGGCATCTTCTGGCAGATCCTCATAGTCTAATATCCTTTTGTGCTGTTTCCTTTTCTCTAACCCAACATTGACCCCTGGAAGCTAAGGAAGGCTCTTGCCTTAAATATTGTATTTGTAAAAGTAGCCATTAGTTCATAAAAGACATGTATGTCTTTTCTTCATCTCCAAAGATTCCCTCTATAATCTATTTCCAGGACCACTGAACACTCATTAGTTTATCTTTTAATTTTCCTTTAGTCCTCTAATGTCCTTTGTCCCCCTAATGTTTAAGCTCTTTAAAGTTGGAAATTAATTATTGTTTGCATGAAGCATATTACATGCTTAATAAGTATCTGTGGAAATGAACTGCAAGATCAAGCCTAGCTTGGTACTCAAGGCCAGCATATGTAACAACATTTTTGACATCTTCAGTTGGTTGATTCATAGTTGTAGTCAATTAAAATGTCCAAAATGGAACTCTTGATTCCATTTCTAAACCAGTCCCTCACTCCAAATCTTTCTCAACTCAGAAGAAGGCACCACTGCCCACTGAGTTACTTAAGCTAGAAAACGTGGAAATATCCTTTGTTATTCACTTTCTTTCATCTGCTACATCCAATTTATCAATGATTTATTCTGGTTTTATCTTCAAAATATCATATCAGATCTGTCTTTATCTCTCAATTCCCAAAGCTTCCTATATAGTCTGGACCCATGGAGCAGCACTGGCATGACTCTTATCTCTTCTATATTATCCTGAGTCACTCGCTCACCTGCATCTTTACCATCCCCACCATACTCAGGCCAATGGCCCCTGTCCTCCTGGAGCTTACATTCTTGTTGGGTAAGAGACAGAAAAAAGAGGCCAATAATCATAATGCCAACAGCCTGTGATTAAGTTCTGCAAAGAAAATGAACAAGCAATTCAGATGACAACAGCAGAGTACCTTGGTTTCTCTCATACTTTGAGTCTCAGTAAAAGGTATTTTCTCAAGGGACACTGTTGTGAATAGCCTTTCCTAAATGAGGTCCCTTACCACTGACTCAGCACGTAGTGGAAACTCAAATCTTGGTTATTGTTGGATGGATGAATCTTACTTTCATCCTTGCTTTCTAATTTTATCTCTCTGGTAAGTCAAATTTTTATTCTTCACTATAGATACTAAAAACGCCAGTCTTTTAACAAAAATTTTAAATACAGAAACCATGGTGTGTTTGTGCATGTATGGGTGTGTATGTGTTAAGCTAAACTTAAGCTAAAGTTAAGCTAAAATCAACTTGAATTTATATCCAGCTTTTTTACACCCTGAGTTACTCATTCCTTTTACTTTCTGCCTCAGGAATCAGATTCTATATTGGTTAATTTTCAATGACCAAAAATTTAGAGAAAGTTGTCAGGTGGAATAGCTGAAATGCCAGTTACAATAGAGCATAGTATTAGTTTAAAATTTGCCTTTTGGTGCATATTTCAGGTAGTTTAAAAATAAATATATCACTTAAGGTTTGAGGTTTAGAGAGATGTGTGTGTGTGTGTGTGTGTGTGTGTATATATATATATATATGGGTTTATATACTGTTTTTGTATTTTAAGTTTGGCAGTCACCATTCAAGTGCCTTGACAGGCCCATTTTTAGCTCAAAATGCTCATCCCTTTTGAATTATGAAATCCTAAATTCTCATGTGTCTCACGTTATCTATCTATACTGTAAAAAAGTGGAAATAATTAAAATAGTCCATCTAACAATCCTCTTTTAAATTCATATAGCATTTTTAATTAGATGGCATTGAGAGAGAGATATATTATTTTCCACTGGCCATCAAATCCTGGATGTCTCCTCTCCTAATACCATCTGTATATTTACCTAGCTATCTGTCTATCTGTCTATTTATCTATCTATTTATCTATTCTCAGATGAAATTAATTCTCAAAAATTAAAAACATATGTCCCTCATACTCTTTTAGAATATTAGAGTCCTGTTTATTACTAATTCTGTCATAGCTGAGACGGTGAAAGTATCACTCAGTAAGTCAGCATATAGTTATGTTGCACCTTAGCAATGTGCCTCCTTCCAGTAAAGACATATGAGTAAACACTTGTCATATTTTGAATATTATGCTTTATAAACATAGAGAAATTCCAAAACAAATTCGTAAATCAGTCTTCTCTAGTATCAAAAAGGTATCAACTCATGCCATGGGACTCATAAGAATGCAATATTAGTATAATAAAGAAATAGAAGAATATATTATTAAGTGTTTATTTCTAAAAATAAAATTTTCCTGCTATCATGAAATAAAACTCAGATAACAAATTACATAAAAGCATATGTATCTTCACCCATAAAAAGCACAGAACACATAAAGATTGAACAATATAATATAAATATTAACTAAATATATACATTTAAGTGTGCATATACGCACAGGACCAAAAGACTGAATAAAAATGTAGGAAAATGTTAATATTATATCAAGATGATACTTTTGAGAATTTTAGTCTAACTACAGAATAATGTCTTCTGTCTTTGCTAAAACATCTGGGTTGAAAATCAAATATAAACTTTCTGAAAAGATGAACTACAACCCATAAATTCTGATTAATAACAGCTAGCAGGGTAAGATAATATATACCATCTGGCTGAATCAGGAATTTGACTAGAAACCTGGACTAAAACAATGACATGCACTTATGTCTTCACTTTTCTCACAGCTAGTATATATATGGATGTCGTATTTCCTTGCTTGCTTTCTTTCTTTTTCATTACTAAGGTGATATCAATACATTACATTTAGGAAGCAATTCATCATTTACCAAGAGCTTCCACATGAATTCATCTTTATCATTTCCAAGGATGGTTCACCACTGAGTTAGCAGAAGAAGCATTCTCATCCCCATTTCACAGATGAGGGCTTGCCTAGGATCACTCAGCCAGAGCTCTAACCTCATCTTAGAATCCAAGTCAAGCATTATTATCTAAAACAGCCTATGGCTAATGGCCATACTTCCAATCACTGACCCCTAATGGTAGCTGAAAGCAATCAATACAAATTATTAAATATATATATCAAGTACCTATTGTCTGAGACACGGAGACAGAATAGAAATGCCTATTCATTTCATATATTTAATTTTCTTAATCTGCAATCCCATGTTCATTCTAGAAGGCAGAACAGTAAAATCATATGAAAATTTTAGGGTATATCTCTCGATTTTGACCAAATGATTAATTTAAAGGGGAAAAAGTATAGTAGGATCCCACCAAGGGGACAGGGGATTGTTTTCTTGTGTTTGGAATGAGTCATGGCCTTACCACAATTGTTGCAGTAACCACAATAATATAGATTTCTGCTTAAATGTGTTAAAGTGATTGACATTACGGATTTCATCCAAGGGCTGTATTTGACTAGAAATCATTGGGGGCTATCAGAAAATAGATTAAAACAGTTAGTTAGATAATTTATAAACAAGACTTTGGAAACTACTCAATCTTACTCATAGGGAAAGTAGATAAAAGAGGCATGAATCTAGCCCACATTTAACCCACCACTCACTGGATATGCACTGGCCCTGTCAAATGCCTGGCTTAAAGCTTGGTGGACAATGTACCACATTATTCAGGATTTCTTTAAACCAATACATTTTTATGTGCCTTGCTGAAATTTCAGCATCCACTTCAAAGACAGAAAGAAATACGAACAATTTACACCAGATCATAAAATGATACAATAGCTATTGAAAATAATGCATTCAAAAAAAGAAACATTTAAATGATGACATTAACAAAGCACAATTAGAACTCAGTTGGTCTCCACTCTCCCCCAGAGGTTCATAAACCCACAGATGAGGCTCTGAATTAAGAAGCAGACGTGGCAAGAGCATCCTAATTATGTCTTGTTTAACCTGACCAGGAAATGTCTTGGATCAGATGTCATTTTATCTTTTTCTTTTCATGTTTTTTTCTTTTTGATAAATAATGACTTTCAAATATAGAAAGGGAAACCATTACAAAAAC